CCAAGACTTTAGGGCACGGCATACTTCGCGGTAGCCCACACCAACGAAGGACATATATATATATATATGCATATAGACAGACGAATCAAACCTGCGTACTGCATCAGCTGCTTGAGCTACTCGACACAGTTCATCCACCAGCAATTGTTGGGATCCTCAGCGGAAACGAGGCTTTTGATTCGATAGGTGAGAAGGTTCTCTCTGGTTGTTTTCAATACAAACGAGCACCCTTGAAGTGTGGGGACCTAACGAAGTCACAGCGCTTATATTCTTCTGCTACAATGAGAGGCAACGGCGAGCTAACCCGTGCATTGGAAATCAGCAAGTGTTCATCAAAGGCACCGAATTTCACCATTCCAGTTCCATTTTGTACTCGATGAAGTACCGATGAACACCCTGAATGGTCTCCCAAATATTGGCATTGAATGTCCAGTGAAACAAATCGATGCAATTCATGGTAGTCGGACAACAGCGTTCTTTTTTGTTCAAAGGATACAAGAAGAATGCACAAGGTGCAATTATCATACGAACAAGTCCTGCTATTCGTTTCAGTACGCACTTTGCACCGTCAAAGTACTAGGTGATGTTGCGAGACTAGGCGTACTTTGAAACCCGATGATCAGTACTATAGCTATAAACAATCCCTTCTCTTAGCTGGTCACTTGCGTGACGAAAGATGATAGGGTCTGACTTCGGATTGTGCCAAACTAATCACAGTACAATATTCTTTATAATAATAAATAAATGTTCCAATTATCTACGGCGCAAAACTGACATCCGATTAGACCTATCAGGTCGTGGCCAGTTCTGGTTTCGGGGTTGCGAAGCTCAAACGTTCACATGTGGAACACGTCTAACGAGTGAAAGTCTCCCATAATCGATGTCTGTGCAGTTTGACGCGAGTAGATCACAGACACTCAGGTTGGTTACAGACAGTGAACGACACTGAAGGCATCGAACCAACAATGGTTATGCGTGCATGCACACATAGTCGGACCATGCAATCTGTGTCGTTCATCAAACGTTATCTTTATCCCGCCTCTCTCGTTCAACCTACACAGTCGTACTAACTTTGAGCACACTGTGAGTTTGGTAGCGATAAACGAATTTCGTTTCACTGCACCTACATATTTCACATGACCATAATGGAGGATTTGATTCATTTTCATCGTATATAGGGCAAATGAAGCGTGAACTGAACTGAAAAGCTGGAAAGCACTGTATAGTGCTGTTTCTACCTAATTGGGTCTCATCAGCAGTGCGGTGCGAATTCATCAATCCAACTGGGGATCGAATTCGGGAACTCACAGGCAGGACGCAAGCATGCTACCCACTCGATTACTGAGTAGCTGATCAGACCGTTTCTCATTTTCCGGTTTACACAATATAGCATAACCCATCTTTGCGAGCTTGGTGCGGGCATCGTGCCTTGCTCATCTCAGCCCCAATCTCTGGGGTAAGGATTCGGTTGGAAATTTTCACAAACTGACTACTCGTTTCAAAAGAGTAAAACGTTCAAGTAAAAATACCCCACGAAGCGTTTGCAAAAATACACAATCATGACAGCTTATGTGTGATTGAGGTAGATTGACCCAACCAATCCAATTGTGGCGGATAGACTCACCGAAACCGGACAATTCCGGGACCTCTTCGTAGAGCTGCATGTTGCACAAGTCCGTCTGTGGATCGAACAACAGACAGGCCTGAGCCACATTTGTGAATTCATTGACTTCAATTGGTTGGCAACGTCCGTGTGAGTCCGAAATTAGGATCTCCGATGATTCATGGGGCTGTAGAAGAACACGGTCCCAAGGCCAGATGATGAGGTCATTGGATTGCGGTATGTGTGTGTGTGTGTGGGAGTGGGGTGGGGGGGGAAGGTAGTCAGAGCAGAAAACCTTGCAATGAATAGCTCAGTGTGGTAGTCAATCCGTGGCTCAAAAACGGAACTAAAAACTAGATGTAAAAATGATCTCGAAATAGGAATTGAGCTATTCACGAGCGGTATCACTAGGAGAAATGACTCAAATGACTCAAAATAAATGATCTGACTCTTGATGCTTTCATAGTTTGTGTCGTTTGTGTGATGTACCGCACCGTAAAAGATAAAATTGGATCGATAGTGATTTATCATGTCTCTGATGAAAGCTAAGCGGAATGAACACATCCCCAAGCGGGACCAGTTTGTTCACTCAGGCAGAGGCACAGCACTCGTGCGCACCGAGCTCCGTTCCCACTTGATCTTACGTAATAGGCCAGAAATCAGTGTGAGAACATTTTGAGCATTTTTTTAGACTACCTCATCTTCGTGGTATTATTCAATTGATGCAAAAACAATTAGTGTGGAAAACAGTCAAAGAAAACCATATGAACCCCATGTATTTGGAAAACAGACTAACCGGTTACTTTTTTTGTCTGTCCCGTGCTTTCCAGATCAGTTGATGGACAGGAATATTTTAAATCAAATCGCTATCTTGACTCTAGCTCGCAGTGAGTTTTATTTCCACACAAAATTCCCCTACTCATCAATCTTGTTTCCGAATCTGGATGACAATGATGATGATGATGAGGAGGAGGAGGAGGAGGAGATAGGAGCCCGGTGGGTGTAGTACCGGTTTCGGAAAGGAGACTATTGTTCTTTCTGTCTGTTAGTTTCGTTCTCCATAACTGGGCGGTGGTGGCCCGGTGGTAACGTCACCAAATTATCACCCCGCGGGGATGTGTATTCGAATCCCACCACCACCGCCTGACTTTCCCCATTGTGCGTATTGAATGGCAGCCCCGTTTGATTGGCCGCTTCTCCCCTTCCTGAAAATTGTATCTTTTTAAATTCAATAAAAAGGAAGTAGAAATAAAAAGATGAAAAAGATAACTCGAATAGAACTTGACAAATTCTACCCCGGCCCCTGCTCCACATCCGTGCCAGTCAGTCGAAGCGTAACCATGGGAGAAGGGGTGAGGGGGTTGGAAAACGACTTGGTTATAGTTATTTCTGCTGGTCACAGACTAACTAATCGCCAATGATTAGATCGAATCACATATGATATATTCGTGTGCGCACACTCTCCCTCACTCCACCTCACCCCACCCGCCTCGTTATCCGTATATTGCGCGTACATGTGCGACAACGGTGACCTTTGGATTAGCTCTGGTGAAACAGTCAGTCAGTCAGTCACCTGTTGATAAAATGTCAGGTTCGGCGACGCAGATTGCTTGGGTGATGAACTGATTGATCTATCGATCCCGTGAAAAATACGAGTCATGGATATGGCGTAGTGTTAGGATTCACCTGGTTTAAACGGCAGTCTTTCAACTAGGGAACGCGTACTGTCGACATTTCTTCTCAAGTTGTGTGGAATTAAGGTCGAATAGACTGTATTTACAAGTTCCATTCGGTGCATTAACGAACAGACTTCGCGTATGGGCTGATGATAGGCGAGAGAAAATATGGAAGAATCGATCGCTCGATAACAAGGATCAACACACAGTAAAGATCGTTTAGATGAGGGCCCAGTGTACCTGATTGGGACATTGTGAATTGGAATAGGTGGATGGACGCTTCACACAACTCCATCATTCATGGTTGTTGTCATCAGTTGCCTAGAGGATGGTTCGATGGTGCGCCACAGTTTCACGGGGTAAATCAGAGTCGATTTTTTCAATACGCTCCGAGCCCAGCTGGATGCACCTAAGAATGAATATTCGTTCCAATTATAAGCTAAGCAGTGATTTCCTTTTCGACAAGTTTGTGGAGCAAGAAGGCAAGTCGTTTCTGACTGCCACCCGCCCAACCACTATCGTATTATGATATTCCTTGATTAACTGAACAGTGAACTAAATCAAGCCCAACCGGTACACCTATCACGTTAGTCAGTCAGTCTATAGGTTCTAACCCACTTGAGTTGAATTACGATAAAACAAGTGAAGTTCATCATTTCCATTCTCGAAAAAAATGGCTACAGTTACTGATCCTAATCACATATCGAGTTCTATTTGGTAAGGGTGGAATTCGTTTGCTCCAAAGTACACTATGCTACTGTATGAAATCGGAAAGATTAGTTCGTTCCACAGCCCGCCCTCATCTGTCCGTCAGCACAACTTTTACAATGCTCGGGCCACTTTAGGTGGCAATTTTTTTTATTACAAAGTCATTCGAGTTGGATCTACAATTGAAGAGATTAACCAGCACATGTCATAGTCAAGTTCGTGCATTGAGCGTTAGTTTGTATGTGCCAGGGCATGTTTCCGTCACATCGGAATGAATACCACTTGACCGAAAGTGTGGCTAAACTTTCAAAACATTGTTTATACCGATAAGAATGAATGTAAATGAAGTGAACTGCTAAAGCAAGAGAGTGAAAAAGCGAGAGAAAAAGCATGACCTCAGTGAGAATTGCGTCGGAGGTTTCTCTCTCTCTCTCTCACCAAAGGGCATCAAGCACAAATCTCAGGCATGTGTTCAAACGGATCGATATCAACGAGAAAATATTTTCGGGGCTAGGGTTCTTTCAGCAACAGAAAATGTTTCCATTAAATGGCATTTGTTTCGGTATTTTGCTTACAGATGACTGGAACTGGACTGGCGCGTTAAAAATTGAGTGGAGCATAGTGATAATTCAGTGGCTTGATTCGCTGTCATTGGGACGTACCCAGCCATGGCCAGACATCGGTTACATCGTCAGGTACACATCATCGACCACAGTCAGATCAATATCCGGTCTAGATATGGGGCGTGAAATGCAAATATCCCCCTAACCCTCCACAGATGCTCGAGAAATGAACCATCCAGATGATGATACAAACCGTCCCGAGACCACAAAATATTTTGGTTATGATGTCACCAANGTTGTCATTAAAGTGCACTCCGCTGTTCACCACTTCATTCGCATGAATCAGTTCTGTCTTAGATGGGTTAGATGATGTGTGATGATGAACAATATTCGCCTTACACGAGCCAGTTGGACTATAATCATCAAGGTCATGCGTGCATCTTGGTTGAAATCGTGAGCCCGTCGCTGGTGTTCAACACAAAAGAATGACACACGGGTCAGTTCTGTCGGATCTGGAACGAGGCCTACAACGAACTGAGGCAACAAAAAACATCACACATTGTTAGGACGGAGCGCACAGAATCCGTCCGGCCGTGCATCAACCCGAGTCACACTACAAGTGCGTTCGTGCCCAAGCCGATTCGATTCCGGATTGGATGATTAAAGC